AGAGAGAGAGAGAGAGAGAGAGAGAGAGAGAGAGAGAGAGAGAGATACGTTAGTATCAAAATCACAAAGTGGAAAATAAACAGTGAAACTAAGGAATATTTATAAAAATAACAAATGATTCTTAATACAAACACAAGCACATGCACATACTAACTGCACTACCCCAACAATACAAAGATACACTCAACTAATATTGAATAGTATTATTCTATTATAAAGACAAAACAACTAATTATAATAATAAACACACACACACTCTCGCTATAATTATCACCGCCATCTTCATCATCATTATCACTAGACGGATGTAGAACATTAAGGGACGAGCCTTGACTCTGTAATCATGCATTATTTTGTAGATGATATTATAAGGCTCGGATGGACTGGGAAGTTAGTTTAAGACATTTGGTTTGCTTTCTAGCAATTGAAGTTGCATTGAACCTTTAAAAAGCATTCAAGTGACTTTTAGAAGGAGTCGACTAGTCAGTCACTGCATATCAAAGCTTTCATTTTGCCAAAAATGTCATTCAAGGATGATTAAAGGATTATAATTATTAGTTACCTGCCAGAAGTCCGTTATGGTGTGTTGCAGAGGACCTTGACTAGCTATGTATCTAGGCAACTTAGGATCAACATCAGTCTATTAATAAATAAATAATAATAATAATAATAACAATTATTATACTTACAATAAAATTTGCATTAATATAATCCGATCCTGAGGCATTGAATTCTTTATTGAGGAGAACACGAGTGTGATCATCTGAAATAAATAAATAAATAAATAATAATGATGATGATGATGATTATTATTATTACAAGGAAGGATATCAGGATATCTGTTCTTGTGTTTATTATTCAAAGACAGTCCAGCCTTTACAGAAACATCGTCAGGTGCATATGAAGTTAACGACTAATGGAGGAGAGAATAAGAATAAGTAGGAACATAATTATAATGAATGGAAGAAATGAGTTTATAAACATGTTGTGCTGTTTAAATGGCTGATAGCCACTGTTAGATCTAGAGGAAGTTTAGGAGGCCTTTGGTCCCACATATTTGGTCTAAGTCCCCCATATTTAGTTGAGACTGGTCACCCACAACTTATTTCTGATCTAACAATAGCACACTTAAGTCAGGGGAGATTCAAAGGTGCACATGAAAGTGATTATGCTAAAGCCACAGTAGGGCATCAAAGAACCCACTGGTGCCAACCTGTCTGTACTTAATTAACCACTACAAGTATTAATTAACCACCAGTTGCTATTAATTAACCATTAATTAACCACTGTTACCTCCCACTCTTTGTCCAGCCTTCCTTTGTCACGGAGATTGTTTTCGATATAGGTCTGTAAACATTTAAAATAAACAAAAATATATTTATATAATGACATAAAGACTAACCAGAAGCAGATGTCCAGCATTGATATCTATGTTAGCGTTAGCAGGGACATTAGACCTGGAGTGAATCAATAAAGACAAAAACATGAACACAGATATTATTATTAACATTATGCCACCATAATAGCTAGTGATTTCGGAGGATAGTAACTTTGGTAAAATTGACATTTTGATACCCATTCCTTACAATAAAATTCAACATTTTGAGTCATTATATTGTACATGCTTAATAGTAAATGGACACAAATTTGCTAAAAATTATCAATTCTCTGCAATTCTCAGCCACACTTTGCATTACCAGTGGTATCTGGATTTTATGGGCGGAGCCTGCTGTATAGTGGAATGAGTCGTAGAGGGTATTCGTAAAATGTCCGAAAATAATAATCGTCTTTTATTAGGTGCCACGCCTTTTTCGTCTTCTTCGTCCTACAGTGGTGGGCATGGTCAAAAGTAATAATGGGTGTGGCTTACAGATTGTAACGAAGAATATTTAATAGTTTTATTAGTAAAAGACACGGTAGGTTTCAAACTAAAAACAATAATAATAATAATAATGATAATAATGATGATAATAATGATGGTAATAATAATGATGATGATAATAATAAAGATTACTTACCACCAGTACCAGAGTAACAGGAGGAGAAGCAGTACTAATATTAACAAGAATATGATGGCGACACAAATGATGAAATAAGTCATTGAAGACAGCACTGTATACATCATGGAGTGATCAGAAGGCTAGGAAGCAATAAAATAAATAATACAAACAGACCAGCGGGTCCTTACTACTATCCCTCCGGCCAGCGACACCGTGCTGTTCGACATCTTTCAGTAGCTACCTATTCAACTTCGGCTTCAATCGAATTATCAAATACTTTTCAATATTACTCCTCGAAGTAGGTGGAGCTTACTAGCCTTATAATTAGAATATTTGCATTTATTACGGCAGGTCATTGCGCTAAAGTTAATTAATATAATTGAAATTGAAATTTTTCATTTTTAAGAATAATAATAATATATCATACACATCAGGATTAATAAACCTATGCTAAAATAATAATAATAATTGATATTATGACAACGATATATAAATTTCTATATACAATAAAATCATATTATTGGAGAGATAGAGAAAATGTAAGAAAAAGACAAAAAAATCATTTATAATACCATAATAATAATAATAAAGAAAAAAAAGATTGCTTGAAAAAGAGCGATATATATATATATAATACAAGCAAAAGTGAAGGTCTGAGAAAGGAAGATTGTTTAAATTGTTTTTTATGATGATAATAATAATATAATCTGTGGGAAATCTAGTGGTTAATAATATACAAATTATAAGCTTTTAAACATCTTTTAGTAATAATGTGGATAATAATATTTGTGTTCCTTGTACAGCGAGAGAAGAGAGAGAGAGGATCATATAACAAGTCATATTAATGTAGCCAAATGTGGAATAAGCCAATAGTCATGTATCAGTATATATTACACATACACATTGAGAACGACACAGAATTGAGAGAGAAGAGAGAGAATGAGATGGGTATGGATAGATGGATACATATCAAAGCTTTCATACAATAAAGAGGCGAACAAACAATAACAAGAGAAAGAAAAACGTATACCTTTAAATGCTGTCTGGATATAGGAATGAAGGAAGGAAGGAGGTTGATATTAATGTCTCTCATTGTTAGTGAAGCCTCAACATTGACTTGACTGGAGTAGCACAAACTGGACAGGATCCAGAGAGGACTGCTGAGATGTGAGCACAAGAAGCACAAAAGAGATTATGACCACAAGGGACAAGAGCAGCAACGACTTCTTTATCATGGCAGACACAACAAATCCTTGAAGTCATGACACTGTGCTTAATGGGTAATTTAGGACTAGTAACACCTAATCCATCGGACGAGTTGGAGCTGCAGGAATAAGTTGGGCTGGGCGGGTCTTCTTTTAGAATCTCGCGGAAAGCGGTGAAATCAAACATTTTATTATTAGGGACGGAGACAGGAGCAGATAAAGGTGGAGTACCAAAGGAGAAAGGGCCTCCTTCAGACGAATTAAAGGAGTTTGAGCGACTGAAAGCATCTTTGATGTTACCGCCAAAAACTGCACTTGATAGCGGAGATCTGGTTGCCGGTTCGATCCACTGTGACGAAGTCGTGTAACCGTTGTCCAGTATCTCGACACCGTAGACCGGTCCGCTGGTAGTCGGAGCAGGGGGACTGGCTGAGGAGCGTGGGGAGAACTGCTGCATTAGTTTACTGGCGCTCGACTCGGAGAGTTTACGAGTGAGAGAAGATGTAGGTGGAGTGAGTGGACTAGCAGTATTATCAATAGATGGAGACATTATGGAGCCATACACTTCAGTGTCGCTGTCTGAATCATGGCAGCCTCCAGTCCTCATGGCTATGTAGCTCTCAATCTCTTTCTTTGCTCTCTCCACGTCCTCTGGTTTGCCTGAGACCTCGAAGCAAGGCTCCTTATCGCGTGAAGGCGTTACTATGTGAGTATTTGTGATCTGCTGGATACGTTTAATGGTAGCACCTTTAGGACCAACAACCAGACCAACAACACGATACGGGACTTTGACATAGACTGCAACCTTATCAGGAGCAGTGCCTGCAGGGCCGCCATTAGTGGTAGCGGATTCGGGAGAGCCGCCAGAGACTGATGGAGATGAAGATGGAGACCTCGCAGGATTGGTCTTAGCTGCTCTGATTTGAGTAAAATGGTCAGCGGCGGCGAGGACTTCTCTCTTAGCAGAAGAAACGTCCTCAGGTCGTCCAGTAATGACAAAAACAGGCTCTTCTCCTCGAACCGGAGTCTTGATGTAAGTATTGGTCTTCGCACGGAGTGCTTTTATCTTACAACCTACAAATTATAAAATAAACTGAAAGGATACTGCGGCCATTAAGACAAGTCTTACCTTGCCTGCCAACGATCTCAGCTACATGTTCAGAGCTAGGTACAGCCACACAGTGAGTGACGTTTAGAGAGCGAGGAATGGCACGGGAGAGTGGACAGTCAACAAGACCCTCCGCCATAGTTCCTCCTGGTACAATGTATCCACCATTAGCTCCCTCAGCTGTACCATCGCCTACTCCGCCAGGCAGAGGAGAATTGGTTAGATTGAGCATTGATAGCTCCAGTGCTGTCTGGAGGGCACTGTTGTTCTCCATCAAAGGTCTTGTAGCTACCTCGGTACTCATCTCTGAAAATGATAATAATAAAATAATTATAAATGAAATTATCATGACTCTTTGTGCAAATATACTCACTGTAGTTTCTATTTTAATTTCAATGGAAGGGATCCTTTGCTTGTAGAGAAAGAGAGAGCCGCCAGAGAGGGAGAGAGAGCAGGAGAGGTAGCGAGAAGAATAACAAGAGACGAAGAGACAATTGCTACCGATTCCAGTTATATGATTATCAATTGCTAGACCACGCCCACTCCATTATATTGTGGCGCCACTAGCTAATTCCTGCTGCTGTACATTATAGCATTCACTAATTAGCAGCCATTACTCTCACAGTAAAAGTGTATTATTATTGATTAAAAGGACACTTTAGTGTATGTGTTATAAGTTAATAATGTTGTAGAAAATTAATAACATTAGTATAACTTGATATATTGCTGCCTTTAGCAAACGGCTATAAATAAAGAAAACATAATTGATTATCATCATCATCACCATCATTATTATTATTTTATTTACTTGTAATAGCACAGAAGTTGTTCCTGACCAGCTGGTACTAGCTGGTAGCAGTGATAGACGAGGTAGAGACGATGACAACGGAAGGACTACGTGCTTCTCATCGTACGCTGCTCCTCCTACACTTCCAATGCTTGAACTGCTGTACTTAACAGATGACAACAGTTGTCCATTGTACATTCTTAACATACCAAGTAACACCTAAATACAAGATAGAAACAAAGAGAGAGGGGGAGAAAGAGAGATTTAGGTACTATAGTGGCAGCCATAGCTCTGCTTACTGATGTCCTTTGACATTGCCTCTCTAATAATTTGTTAAAGTGAGGAAGGTACACATCATAATCAAAAGGGTCGATGATATCTTTTAGTTTACTAATAATATTATCATACTTAATGTAAACATCGTGCTAGAGAGAGAGAGGAAAGAGAGAGAGAGAGAGAGAAAGAGAGGAGGGAGAGAGAGAGAGAGGAGGAGGAGAGAGAGAGAGTGGAGTGAGCGAGTCAGAGAAAGAGAAAGAAAGAAGCTAATCTAAATAATTAGGATCAAGTATCATTATAATGAGATTATAGTGAAGATAATCGAATTAATTAGAAACAGAGAAAGAGAGAGGGGGAGAGAGAGAGAGAGAGAGGAGAAGAGGACATACAAGGGATACATACCCAATCTTCCTTCCAGCCAGATGGTGTGATAGTAAATGCCACATACTGGACATCAAAGATCATTTGTAGTGAGGTCTCCTGTGACATAATTCCATCATGATCATCATCCAGACACTTTTCAAATATATTAATAATAATATTAAAAACAGCTTTGTTGATCCCTCCTATTAGTGACCTAAAAAGAAGACAAACATGACCAGGTTTTCCTGTACTACACCACTTCTCTTCCTGTCCTTCACCAACTTCCTTTTATCATCTTCCCCTCTCTCCCTCTCCCCTTCCTTCCCTCTCTCTCTCTCTCACCTCCCCCT